TCTTCAGGGCCCCTCCCAACCCTAACCAGTCTATGATTCGATGAACATGTTCTCTTCTCTGCTGCTTGGTCAGCAACCCAAGATCACATTAAGAATCTTTATCAAATGCAAATAAGCCTCTTTTAATAAATTAAGGCTGTGTAGTTTAAAAATTACATCTAAAAGAGATCACATGCCATCAGGAGACCTGTTCAATAAAGCCTGTAGCATGACTCTTGCTCACTATGATGTGGAATAGATCAGACATTACAAAACTATACACAATATAACATCCACAGGGAAGAAAAAGGTTGTTGTTATTTTATTTTTTTTTTTAATAAGAAGTACCCAGCATTAAAAGCAGAATAATTCTTAAGAGATTATGAAGAAAAAATATCTGATCCCACAGTAAACTCTCCACAGATGTGTGGCTTTGATAGTTACAACTTACCGCCGGTCTGAAAAGTGCTCTAATAAATTATCCGCATTATACAGTAACAAAATTAGCTAATGATTACATAACACGTATACGTTCACTGTCCTTCTCCTACTCACTACATGAAGTTTGATTTTATGTTTTTTTTTCAGAAAGACTGCATTTTTTTTTGCTCAGAGGCCTATGTTGCAGCTCCAGATTAATTTTTCCCATGCAAGCGGCCTTTTTTTTTAAACATTAGACTTACAATTTATAGAAGAAGGAAATTATAGATAAATGACTTATAAAGAATATGCTTGACAGTAAGAGTAACAAAACTCCATAAATAACACTTCCTTCCTGACCTTCAAGATCTGTGACAATCAAGACACTTGCAGTAGTCTGTAGCACTTACTGATCATCTAATTTTAATAAATTTTACAAGATGCACAAGTTCTGGAAACAAGTATATAAAGCACATTAACTTAAAGCTTACAAAGAATCAGCAAAATCTTTACCTATATTTTTAAAATCAAGAATTGGATACTTTCTGGAAAACATACTTCAGTCATGATTTCAATACAGCAAGTGGATTACTATTGTATAGTTGGAACCATGTGAAATCAGACAAGACTATCTCAATTTTTTCCTCCTGTATTAAAGTTCATTACAACACCAAAGAAAAAAAAAAAAAAATCTGTCACGCATCTAACATACAGTTCACAAAACCATTATTAACAGTAAGGCATAAAGATACTTACAGTTTACAAGCAGAGGTGTTGTAGAGACTTCGTTTCCCCTGTGTTTGTTAGTTAGGGTAGTTGATTGTTTTATTGGTGAGAAATGCTTAGTAGTTGACGGAGTATAAACATGTCTTACTTGGATACCAGGGGAAGGAGAAGTGTGGATGTTGCATTCAGCTACATTGAACAGAGAAAACAGACAGGGTTTTAGTATTAGTGAGAGCATTAAAAGCAAGCCACAGATTCTAAGTCAAACTAGAAAGCACCAGCATCACAAGATCTTTAAAACCCACGTTAAGTAAGCTTTGTGACACGTGCTTTTTCCACCGCATGTTGCGCGACTTGAACAAAGGGCTGTATTCATTTCTAGCATGAAACAATGCTGCCAACCCACACATTTGGTATGGTGCGACGCCACCTAGAGACAAGCTCAATGAGGTAAGCCTTTGTCTAGGTTTTCAACACGCCTGGCATTGATTTATCAGGTAGGATGGCTCTACTTAGCCTGTTACATCCTTACTAATACCCTCCAGTGCAATAACATGATGCAGCTCTGGTCAGCCATGCAGTCAGGTAACTGCTCAGCTCACCCCTTTGCCTGCTCCTTAAGTAGTCCACTGCATGGGTGAAGATGGCCTTCACCCATTTTCTTCACCAGGCGTTTTGCCACCTCTGTTGGATAAGATTTTAACTGCATTATGAATGTTTTATGAATACTTGTCCAGCAGGAAGAGAGATATTCCACACTAATTGACGTATAATGCAACAGCAGGTCACTGCTTAGAATTCAAGAAGTCATTCCGTGCTGCTGCGCTCATCTGTACTAACTTCTCTCTCTCTCTCTCTCTCTCTCTCTCATCTTGGCTTCTAATTCTCAGAACTAGCTTTTGGTTTTGAGAAGCAGCTGAGAAGCCAAATAATTTTTCAGAAGCTAACTGATTAAATACTGGAAAGACATACTGAAGGATAAAACTCCATTATTGGCTAAATTGATTTGACACCAGCGTGCACTAGTAATTAACGACTGGAAGTTAGTTAATACGCACACTGAATTCACGCTGTAGGGTACTTCAGGATCCTAAAGCCAATGACGAATTCAGGGAGAGAAACAATTAAAAGAAGTAGAGGGTAACAGGCTGAAAAGAAAACTACATTTTGTTTGCCAGTCAAACAGCTACAGCTGATGTGATCAAATTAAGAGTCCTACCAGGGAATTTTGACCTGCGGACCCTGGATCCGCAGGACTACTTCTAAGGGGTTCACGAATGTCACCTAAGGAAAACCACCCTATCGCTGATGGGTCTAATTTTGCCATTCAGGTCTGCAGCTCCACTAGTAAGCACTTGGGGCCTGCAAACCAAAAAGTCTGAAAATGACAATGGCTGAACTGCAGCGAAACAATACAAATCAGAGAAACCATCAAAATCCACAACAGGTCTGTCTGTATTTGTGTTTGTTACAGGAAATGGGTCAAATTCAACCTCGTGAAAAGATACATCACTAACAGTCTGAAACATGACAGTGAGCACTGGAAACCACAATTGTTAAGGAGAAATAGATGGAAGTCCTAATTCTGTTCTCTATTGATATGCTCAGTCATGAAAAAGCACAGATCAATTCTGATGAAGCTGCCCAGCAGTGGCTGCAGATTAGCTGCAGGGATCTGGAACTGGAGCAAAATTTGCTTTCAAGTAGTGTGAACGTGAACTGGCAAGCCAGTTGCTACAACTGTAGGCTTTGTACAGCCATATTGAAAAAACAAAGTCAACTGCATGACCTATGTTATTCTGTCATCGTACTAGTGGAAAGATAGAACATGCTGCAGAAAGCTACTAAAGTTGCATGGTCATATAGTGATTTCAGTAGTGTTTTGTAAAGATACACACATTCCACAATGGGTAGCATGTTGTAGGACGTGCTACACAAAAGAAGTAAGCTTGTTTTCATAATCAGCACCAGCTCTCACTAAATTAAATTAGAGACTTTTTACGCCACTACTTTTTCAATCAAAAAATAAGTTAAAAAACAATCTGGAGGAAAATTACTTTTACACTGATAATCCGTTAAGCATATAATAAAAATGTTAGGGGAACAAATCTTAGAAAACTATTACTGATTAACACACATATAAGACAGAGTCTTTTTTTTAAAAACATAACAGCTTAACAGGATGACACTGTCCACACATAACAATTTGTACCATAAAGTTCAACCTTTAAATAAGACAGATGCCACTTCAAGATCGGAGTTAACTTGGTCTTGAATATTTTTGCTGTCCTCCTCATTCAAAGATTTCACAAATCGTGAGCAGACATTCATATCGAATCTATTGGGCAAAATGAATTTCATTCCCATGGTGACACTCTGAGCTGGGCCTTCCTCTGTGCTAGAGTCAAGCTGATGCTCCACTTTAATGTCCGGCATGGGTGGAAGGCTGTAGCTAGTGGGACATTCTTCTACAATTAACTGGGCCCCAGCATCTAAGTTTGTTGAAGATGCCACGGCCTCCATCACGCAGAAGTTTTATGCAAAATGTTTCTTCACAGTTTCTAGCCAAAAGCAGTTCTGGCCAACCAAGCTGTATCTAAAGTGATCCGGATGTTTGAACAACCTGCAACTGAACACACGTAACATCGGTTAACAACATTCTGGTGAAGCAACGCATACAAGTACACCACGCTTGGCTGTGTTTCAGCTGACGGCATTTGGTTTTGACAGTCAAAACCTCGGGGAGGTATCAATCTTACTGCTGTCACAAGCCATGGACCAAATCCTGCCCTTAAATTTTATCCTTAAATGGATATTTAAGCCAAATTCCATATCGAAGTCAGTAGGAGTTCCATCTAGGCGGCATTTCAGATTATTAGTCCGGCCGCAATAAAAAACCCAGCACCACCAACCACGTTTATACTAAGACAGGAACACGTTATAAGAAGATTACTTTATTGCCCCAAAACATTACGACTTGAAGGAAAAGTTGAAGTGACTTCATGTCCCTTTACGGCTCTAAGTCCTTCCATAACCTGAGTGAAATAAACGGCTTCTACCACGCTCGTTAAGAAAACGACTGATCTCCTTTAGACGGCACAACACCTCAGAATACGCGGGATTCCTGACAGCGCGGCGGGAAGCCCACCGGCGGGGCCGGCTCCGCGGGCAGGCAGAGCAGGGCAGGGCAGAGCAGAG